AATTTATCTCCAGTGTACAAGTTCAAGGTTGTCATTATATTATTTATTTTAATAATTTTCCAGGTATTTTATTCAGTGTTATTTTGTTTTTGAAGATTCTCTGCTTCGCGAAGAGATACGGAAAGACTCCTCTGGGATTTTCGATGGCGGGATTCATTGTTGTCAAGAAGGACTTCTTTATTAAAGTAAGTGATGGATTGCATTCACATTTCAATTCATTAACATTGTGTAAATTCTGATATCGTTTTACTGTTTTGCAGGTGGCAGAGGGCCTTTACTCGGTATTCAACGCCTTTCTCGAATTAAGAGGTTCGTTTTCCGCTACAAAGCAAAATTGCGTTACTTTGTCGTTATCGTCCAACAAAACCGCAAAAGTTTCTTAAAAATACCGCTTAAAATGGTGTATTTTGCAAATCCATAAACAAAAGTGTTATATCGCTAGGCGTGATTTTAATATAACGTATTGCGATATCGTAATTCTCATTCCAGACATAAATTTATATTAGTTTCGTGCCGTGAAAAAATAAAAATTAGAATTTATAACCGTAAAAATTTGTTGGATCTTGAGAAATATTTTTTGTATTGTCCATTATTGTGTAATTTTAATTCTGCTTATGAAAAGAGTTGTGGGAGGTTACGAACTATTTTTATCTGTCTGGATTGCGAAAACAAAAGACACTTTAATTTTATTTCAATTTATATCGTCTCGAGTGATGCTAATCAGTATTGAATTTTTAAATGTAATAAACACTCGAAAATCTATTTTTAACACTATAAATTCGAAAATATCACACTAGTTTTTAAATAATTTTAAAATAATTACCAATTTAAATAGTAAATAAGTTATTGACTTTATCCTGTTAGCTTCAAAAATCCTACTTTCGGGAGGCCCCTTTTCTTAATTTAGGCCTAAATTTGCAGCGCATCCCTATTACCCAAAATTCCCAAAATTTTGGGTAATAGTGATGCGCTCCCAAAATTCGTGGGGTTTGTCGACCGTCCGAATTCGATCTCAGTGTTACAATTTTAGATTACTCTTATTTACTGCACGGTAACTTAAAAGCGCGTTAAAATTGCCGGTAGTTAGTATAAAATCAATTACAGATTACCTCCCGAGGTAGGCTGTAAGGTGATGTAATGGCACTCCCATACAATTTCGGATTATCCTCTAGAAAGAATTATTTTCATTTAGATACTTAATTCCCGCATACGGCATACACGCAAACATAATAACACGTGTAGTTCCTTCTCGCGTATGTTGTATATCTTATGTTTGCACGCGCGTAATTTCACGCACTTCGAACCGGAGAAGAGATTATTTTAATACAATAACATTTTTGTGACTTTTTTATTTTGTCAGACGTCGAGATTATTGTTCAATCTTGTATGTTTTCACATATTTTATTCAATATATGTAGATTTATCACNATTATAGGTCAAAATCACTGACTTCAGTATATACCTAGCAAGAACAACGATCTCCTGCTAACAGTGGCGCCGACTAGCGGCAAATATTGTCTCTAGCTAAGTTTGAACTATTAGTCGAAAGACCAGTTAATCTACCGACTCTGGTGGGAGGTTACGAACTATTTTTATCGGTCTGGAATGCGAAAACAAAAGAAACTTTAATTTTATTTCAATTTACATCGTCTCGAGTGATGCTAATCAGTATTGAATTTTTAATTGTAATAAACACTCGAAAATCTATTTCCAACACTATAAATTCGAAAATATCACACACCCAATTTTAAAATAATTTTTAAATAATTAACAATTTAAATAATATGAAAGTAGCCAAGAGATAGCCAAATATTGTAGCGCCACATCACTAGCGGACATTTGTAATTTGCCGACTAGGACGGTCGGTTAACCGAGGTGACGGTTAATCGGGGGTCGGATAATCGAGGCTCTACTGTATATATATAAAAATAAATGTATGCCTGTCTGTTCGTCCTTCATGCATTACCACACCGTTTATCCAATTGCCACGAAACTTTGGGAAGTTGTTTAATATACTCCCGCGAAGGTTTCTGGCATAGTACATTTATCCTACGATTGATGGCTTTATACTGTGTGTTCGATCGATTTCAAATTGTGAAGACCATTTCCCCCCTTCAAAAATATCTCTATATATACATTTGTGAATCGTTATTTACGATATTTGTAATAATTTTTGTTTAATTACTTTATTTCAACTTTTTTTTGCTAATTACGTATTCGCTCGAACTACGTTAAAACTTTAACTGTACCCCGAACAACGACCGAAGTTGTAGGAGGAAATTCGCCTATTTTACCGATCTAGGTATCTTCCTTTTCCAAATTTTAATATCGACTCAAAATAATTTAAAAAGACAAATTACAATAAAACGGTTTATTATCCGACTATCAAAAATTTCACAACACGCCAAGGAAGAGAGGAAGGTCCAATAAATAAATAGAATTGAAACGACACTTTGAAATGTTTTCCCGATGAAAATGAATAATAATAATAAGTTTCAATAAAAATGATAAAATGTAAATTGAATTTTATCATAACGAGTTTGCTTGAATTTCCTTTTTTCTGAGATCGCAGCAACGCCCGACGGGTAAGCTAGTTTTAGATAAAACACGAAGGAGGTAATTTGAACAACGCAATTGTAATGTGAAATCGTGTTCGGAGTATCGTTGAAAGTAATTTGAATTCGATTTTATTAATTTTCCGGGAGATAGATTCAACGGAGCGGTAGTTCGAAGACTTCGAAACAGTAACGTGTTTTCCCGAAAATAAGACATCCTCTGAAAATAAGACCTAGCGCATCTCTGAGAAAAAATATAAGACACTCTTTTATTTTCGGGGAACCATGGTACAAAGACTGACACCTCGACCATCCGGCCGTTAATGAAACACGGCAGACCCATTACTCTATACGTAACACACCGTTTTTAATTCTGTCAAAAACTTTAATTTTTAATTTACTTGTATTGGCAATTCGGTAGACAGAATAGAAAATACTTTCAGGACCACTGAAATGTAAGGAAGATTTCTTATGAATTTTAAATGATAGAAATATAACATTACGTGTTTTTTTACTTTCGATTCTTCAGTAAAACTGCTTGCTCCAGCTCCAGTATGAAAGATGAATACAGTAGAGCGTCGTTTATCCGAAAGTCGGTTATCCGAAAGAATTTCAGTCGGCCTAAAGTATAATTTTTATTTGTTTTTATATTTTTCAATGTATTTATTTCGTTTCTAAAACATAAAGACATCATTTTTAACGATACAATAGCCACAATTATTATTTTAAAAAGTTTACGTTAGGCTTAACATCGACGAAAATTCAACGCGAAGCGACACGCAACGGAGAAAAATTTCAACACGGGATAGGTTAATATATTTTTTCGTACATAATCGTTTATCCGAAAAATAAGTTATCCGAACAACCCCAGTCCCCAATTGATTCGGATAAACGACGCTCTACTGTATAATATGAAAACAATACGTAATGTACTACACACACCAGGCAATCCTACCCAAATTAATAGTGGGCCAATTTCAAGATTATGTGTGATTTACGCAAGATCGTACCCAATTTCAGAACTGATGATTAAAACTTCGAGAATTTTTAAACGACCCGCCATAACGAATGATGGGTTTACGTAATTTAGTAAAACTTTTCACGAAATGCTCGACACATTTCATAAATTAAAAATAAATTTTCTGAAATTTTAAAAACTAAATGCTGTTTCAAATTTCCGTTGTTATTTTCTGTTATTAATTAATGTTCTCTCGATATTTGCTTCGAGCGAACATTCGTTAAGTCGCAATTTGAAAAAAAATTGTAGACCTATAAATTCCCACTGCGGTCCGTCCGCTGTCTGTCTTTAATCTCGAGAAGGGTGTTACGTAAATAAACGCCGAGATCGCGTATAGAAATCTTAGGAGCGGGAGGCCCCGATTAACTATATAAGAATATCCTTCCGATGCAAACCGAAAATCACGTTGTTTCAATTAAAACCTTTCCCCCCAAAAGGAGTTCGATTGATGACCGACACGACTCTACTGTTAAACGAAAAGTATGATGTACAGTACATGGGCTGCTAATTCGATGTAGAGAGCATATATTTTGAAATAAATAAATGAAAATTTTCAATCCGGCCATGTCACCGTGTCGCAATAAATTCGTTACTTTCGTTAAATGAAGCGAAAGGATAACGATTTGAAATTTTATTGATATTGAATCTTCTTTAGTAGCCTACTTTTTACAATGTAAAAATAGAAATTTGACTTTTCTGTAATAAATCAAAAAGCCAGTAAACTATTTTGGACCTTATTTACTTTAAACCATTCGATAAACCGTTACCTAAATTACAGTAAACCGTAACCTCTTTACTTAGGAGTGTTCGAAAATATTTTTGAACCGTGCTCCGTATACAAAATTATAAGTAAATACTCGTATATTGGAAATATACAAGGTATGTTATTTTCTAAATGGAACTGGCATTCGATTCACGCAACTTCAACAGAAGAGAACAGTGCATTCCCTAATATCGTTTGTTTACGTTGATTTATGTAAACTGTTTAAAACTTCATAATTTCATATATCACGTTAATTCTGTTTGTTTGTGGGAAGAACACATATATTCTTCCCGCATACAAACAGAACATTAATATTCTCATAAACGTGTTTATGAGAAATGTTCTGTTTGTAGGCATCAGTTTATTTTCTCTACGGTTTTCTTCAACACGGATATACTGCTACGGAGTGGTTTTTGTGTGCCACTGTTTGCAACATTTACGACTGTAAATTAATTTTGTTTGTTTTACGAATTTCAAGAAATTTCCCTTTTAGTTATCAGTCCATCTTATCGATACATTTTTAGATAAAATTCTTCAAATTAGTATCGAGTAAGAGCTATCAGAGGTTAAATAAAGTTTTAGAAAAATAAGATTATTTTCTAACAAAATATTTAATTTTTATTCGTTCCAGTTTGGTGGTATGTAAATATTGTATTCGTCAGCTTGCGAAGTGCCGCTGGAAGGACGGGGTGACGTGTTGTTACTGAATCATCTGGAAATTTAGCCGAGTCAAATTTGTTGTACTTCGTTCAATACAGCAACATGATTACAGTTTTAATCTTATTGACGAAACTGTACGAATTTGTGTACACGAAATATTTTAGGCAATACTTTGGAAGTATGCTTGATTATAGCAAACCGCCAGGTGAGAACGAATTTTATTGATTTATTTTAGTTGCTTCTAAGTAGAAAACTAAGTATTAACTTTTAGTATCGTATTCTTGAGTTGTATTATCATAAAAATAGATTTATACTTCAATTCCGGTCACTCTAATGACACTCGTTGTTAAAGCTTTCATTACGTATAGATTCCCACTGTTAACCTTAACCACTGTTTAATGGGGTTAAGGTAAATTTGGTGTTGAACAAACGTAATTTCACGAGTGACTGATTAACGTATAGATTTTGTTTAATTTCTTGAAATATTAATTGTTCACTAACTAATTTCATTTAGATAGGCACAAGGTTGATGTCGAGAGTGAAGATGAAATGGAAGAGTTATGTAATGCCATGTTCAAACCAGGAGATTCTAGTGATGATGAAATAGACGAAGAGACTGACGATCGAGATTTTTTCATGACTTTGGGATGTTACGCTTCAATATCGAGAAGACAGGAACGTAAAAGATTATTTGCGAGAAGATTTGAGGGTGTGGAAGGATAATTTCGTGTTTTCTCCGTTGTGAACTCGGTTGCATTGTTATTGTTTCATCTTTGTTGCTTCGAACTTTAAATTTTATGCTTTATAAGCAATGTTCTTTCAAATAATTCTGTTGCCTTTTCGTTGAAATTATTTGTTTTACTTTTGTTTGTACTACTTATGTGTTGTGATTATGCGCAATAACACGATAGGGTGAGACTTTGAACAATACATTTATTGTCCGTTCGGGATCGGTTACACTGTTAACGGTGGGACGACGGTCCAACTACACTCTGGTCGCCTGAGTACTAACTCTCCTCGCTGTTGAGGGCGACCTCGTCGTCACATAATGCGAGGGATGCCATCACATTATGTGAATGTCGTAAAGGAAAATATTTGATAAGGTGTGCATTGTCATGAAACATTATATTTTGTTGAAAATTTCAATTGGAAGGTTTATAAAATAACGTTTTTGTGTTCAATACATAAATTCAATAGCGATATTTTTTCAGTTTGTGTACATGAGGGAATATTTGGTTTTTTATTTTCAAATTTTTCGTGATTTTTCTGTTCTCCAAAATGATGGAGGAGGAAAATTCATAATTTAAAAGTTATTTTTGTCTTACGTTGCTTCTAAATGATAAATACAGGGTGATCGTAATTAAATAGAAGTTTGGAGCTCTACGAAAGTATTTGAGAAATCTAAAATTTGGTGTACATAATGTGCTGAGTTTGCGGTTTTGATTTAGGAGAGTTTTTTCGAAATTTAACTGCTAGGGTAAACTTTGCGCTGGTGTTCCCTTAATATGAGTGTTCTATACTTTCTAACTATTATCAGGAGATGAACAGTTCGGAATAGTTTAAGAAGGAGAAGTAATTTGCGATCAGACAACGTGAGCACAGTTAGCTTGTTGAAGGATTGTGAAGAACGTTTTACTTTTTATGTCCTGTGCACCTAGTCTTCAGTTAGGCCGAAATTCCACTAGCGTAAAAACGGGCGTAGAACCCCTCGTCGTAAAAGCTTTTAATCACGTGACCTGTTTGCGTCTGGATTGCGGTGGAGGTCCGGCTAACGAAGTTTTTATGGCGACGGTACTATCGAAGTTATAAAGAAAATGATTATATTCTACGAGTTTTTCTGTAGTATAAATACAAATGTAGTAAAAATAATATCTTTACCTTCATATATTAACACGTAAATAGGGGCCAGTTGCACATAGAAGTCTTTCCGGGAGACATCCCTCTGCACATCGCTCGCGTGTTGCGTTGCCGTATACAAACAAAACAAGACTTGAATAGGGTAACGTTAGTAAAAATTCTGAGTTTAAAATTCTATTTATTGCCTATTTAGTGCTTTATAAGTTAGAATTAGTAGACAAATATTCATAATTATTAAAATCCTTGATTTATTTGATAATATAATTGCTTTAAAAACTGTTAAGCTTGTTAAGCGAATACGTCACAGAATCCCTTGCATTTCTTCTAATTATAATTTCATATTCTACGGAAAATTGACGAATATTGTTCAATTTAACATTATAATAAAATTCATTATAAAACTAATAATTTTACATGGCGATTTTGAATTGTTGCGAATACTCAATCTAGTTACTTGGAGTCTAACAATATAAAGCTGAAGAGCAAGGATCGCTTGTTTCCATTAAAATGAAAATTCGAATATATAAATAATATGTAAGGTCATATGTAAGACCTCATAATACGGCTCTATTTACAATACGAAGCTACAAAACGTCAGAATTTATAGTTACGATTGTTTCTTCAAATGTGACGAGTATTTAAAGCCGAAGATTGTTAGAAAAGATGTGAATATCATCCATCAAAAAGATGACGAGACGAGACCAGAGAATCAGCCAATGTCCGAGTGGATAAAACCACTAGACACTGGTGGTCGATCGTGGATTCGTGCATCGCCAACGTGGGATTTTTCAGTTTTGCTTCTCGTGTGTAACACAGTAAGGACCAGTTTTTCATAGAAAATCCTTCCGGGAGGCATCCCTCGGCAAATCGCCCACGTAAAGCTTTGCCGTGCATAAAGGAAACAAACACACGGAAAAAGGGTACAAATTCATAATTTTCTATGAGTCTTTTGTTATCCCTACAGTCTACAGCAGTATAAGTTACTTTTATACGACGGGGAGGATCCGGATTCGATAACGAGTAGATAAGTTTCGTATCGGGAAATTGTTCTTGATCATTAGTTTTGGGTTAGTTCTTTTTCAATCCATTATTTGTACTAATTTGGTTTCGTAATAATTAAATTCGAATGCACGTGTCTCGTTTATATTTAATTTCAATGTTATAAATTATGTAAAGTTAATTATGCAAAATATTATATATGACTTGCATGAAAATTCTGTCAACTCAACATTGATACCGGTAAAGCTAAGTGTAAAGTAATGTAATTTTTAAAAAGTTTATTATATTTTACACGTGATTCCACACGTTTTACATGACATACAGTGGTGCCTCGTATAACGTACGCCTCGAATAACGGACGCTGCAAATAACGGACTTTCTGTTTGGCTGTTATGTGACTCGAGCAACGGACTGGCTGCGAACAACGGACTTTTCGTTCGGCAGTTACGTGAGGCGAACAACGGTCTTTGTGCGAACAAGTGCGAATGATGTTTCCACACTTTTGCCGTTGCCAATGACAATCTGCTATTTTTATAATATATTAGTATTATTAGAATATATTATTAGTATATCTGAAGTACAGAGCTCCCGTTGGGATTCGGATTGCTCCCTTGTTTATTATGTACATCACCTCAGTGCAGGGGTATTTAGATCTATTCAAGTGTTGTGCAAATCATGGCTTCTAAAGAACAGAAAGGTGATTTCAATTGAAACAAAGAAGAAATCATCAGAAGAACAAAAACTTCCTTGTCAAATGGGGAGAGGTTCAGGAATTTACCAACACTCACTATCCAAACATAGCTGAGGCCAACAGGATCAATGATCTCTACAATGACACCTTTGCTCGTCATTTCCGACAGGTGTTGAAGAAGAGAGAGAAACAAATCACCTTGGACATGTTTCTCAAGAAGCAAGCTGCAAAAAAAAAATGGAACAAGAGGAGTTGACCCTGCAAGCTCCGGTAGCCTCTCCTGAATCTGACTCCGATTAAAAAATAATAAAAAGAGACCTGCTGCAATGTGTAAAAAGTCTGTATCTGTATGAATGTATGAAGTGTTCCTCCATCTCCTCCTCACAACATCTGACTACCCGGCATAATTGGTGACTGCTCCATTTTCATTTTTATCATGGTACATTACGGTTATTTTATGCTGCAGAACGAATTATATGTTTTAACATGTATTTCTATGGGAAAATGCATTTCGTATAACGGACTTTTCACTTAACGGACGTGCACCTGGAACGGATTAAGTACGTTATACGAGGCATCACTGTACTTATTAGGGTACTCCATAGTACTTGTATAGAATAAAAATATATTAATTAAGAGGACAGAATGCTAGTATTGGTGAATCATTCTCCTTTTGATGGAAGCGCGACTCGTTTGTATTCTGCCATTTTTTTGCGATTTATAAAGATAATTACAGGATACTTTAAATGTCTTTTGAACTTTATTGTCTGCTTTTCTAAAAATTGTAGATGGTATATATAATTTCCTGTTAGCGAACATTTTTGTTTTGATTATTTTCTGAAATACTTCAACAGTTATTCTGACACATAAGATTCGTTTGTGTGTCTGAACGATTCGTTTATGTGTCATAACCTTTCGCGCTCTAGAAATATCGCATTATGTTTCTGTGTAACAAAGCGTAAAATCCAATTAGGAACTGTTATAAATTAAATGAACTGTAACGATGTTGATGTTCGTTTAAAGACCGAACTATTATCCTCAAAATACATTGCCGAGCGTAAACCAGAAAGTGTTTTGCCTATGATCGAAGTTTAAAATAATTTCACCACCAATAAATATAATTTCTTGCAAATGTGTATAACTCAGCCATACCGATGTTGTGAGGGAGCGGAATTTTGAAATTCGATTTATAGTCCGAGATATTTGAGGCCAAAGTTCGCCATGTAAAGTCTACGGATCGATTGGCTGTTGTAAAGTAAGGCGATTCCCCGCTACGTGTTAGCGAGTTTCTGATTGCTGTCAATTTACGTTAATCTATACGACAATTTTTATTTTAGATTTAGATTGGTTTTAACTCTTTTTTGCACAGTTTTCGTATTTCAAGCAGAGGATCTCAGTTTCGTTTTCCTAGAAAATATCTAGTAGATAGTGATTTTGTGATTTTATAAAAATTACGGTTAAATTCCAGATACGTATACCATCATGGCGGCTCATCTCTGATTCCAGCAAACAAAAGGAAATAGTGGGGACTCACGTTCTAACCTAATTTATTCTAATAATTTGGTTGGTAATAATTATGGTAATTTATTAGAATAGGTTAGGTTAGAACGTGCGTCCCCACTGTTTCCTTTCTTTTGTTTGCTGGAATCAGAGATGAGCCGCCATGACTGTATACGTATCTGGAATTTAACCAAAATTACGATTTTATACTCATGTATTTTTTAAACAATGAATTATCGTTCTTATTATTAATATTTTTAAATTTAAAGCTATTTTATTTTCAAAATTCTACATATTTAATATAATTTTGGCTATTTTGTGACATTTTTTTTATTCTAGTTAAAAATTAATCTGGCAACGCTACGAGTTATTTGCGTGTCGTTTACGCGGTCATCGTGTGGTAAGCGCGGCATCTTCAAATTTTAACAAATGGTAAGGATATAATAATATCTCGTGAGTTGTTTTTTTTATCGACTTCCGTCTCTTTATTTCCTGTTTCGTACTATCGACTCCGCATTAAGTTACTTTTGAGCTGTTCTCCCCATTTTAAGAGACAATCGGATGCTGAGACAAAACGGGATGCGATTGAATTAGCCGCCATTTTTATTTTTCACCATTTACTCTCTCTATATGGAAATAATGTAGTAAAAAACATTGAATTTGGTCGTAAAGGTCTAATTTAAAGTTAATTGTAGTTAAAGATTAAAATTCAATGGGTTCTACTTTTACAATGGGTTCTGCATTTAGCCTTTTTATTATTTATTACAGTAAGTTTTCGTGGTACAAAATAATAGGAACTACGTCCTTGTTCCTCTGTGTAATGATTTGCCAGTCTTTTGTTGGGGTGTATTTACATTGTTTTATATTCCTACACATACATATGCGTAGGAATATGTACATGTACAGTATATATCATTAGTGCACAAGAATAGTGACACAATAGAGCCTATAAAGAGCTAAATTCTCCGTATAAACAAACACCGAAGAAGAAAGAGAGAGAGAGATAGTGACACCACTCAAAAAGATAGTTCTTCCAGAACAGCCATTTAAAAGTTTCTGTAAAAGTTTCTTTTATTTCTGCAAGGCTTTGTCATGATTTTGGATTTAAAAAATTTTTAAATCTTTATTTCCAAAAAAAATTGAAATTTTCAATTTTTTCGGAATTTTTCCATTTAGGAAGGTTTCCATTTTATTAATGTTGCATTTTTATGGGTTTTACCGTAAAAATTATGTAAACTCGTAATCAGAATGAGTATGCGTTCTGATTATGAGTTTACATAAGTTGAATGATAAGAGAAAACTAACAATGAAAGGTTTATCTGTAAGAGTTCTATTTCTTAGCTTGATACACTATGAATTTAATTTGATTTTAACAACAATAATTTTCACAAATATTGTGAAAAGATGAATATATACTATGAGATAAAGAGTTATTTAAAACAAAGCTACTGTAAAGGTTTGTCAATAAATCATGCGTCCTAATTTAGTATAAATTGCTCTCCTGCTGTTAGTGGTCAAATGCGGTCTATTCCCAAAAAATTATATGGAAATTACAAGGTCATTGGAGAAAAAATACATTGAAAAAATAAAGTTTAATAATAAAAGCTACACTTGGAATAATGAGTTACATGAAACTTTTTCCTATATTGGCTTTAATGTGTTTGATTTGAATTAAAGCTGTTTTACTACAATCTTCAGAAGGATCCAACCATTCGTGTCTACCCAATCCTTCTCTTCCATTCTTTCTAATTTACATTTTTATGACCTTACATATAATTAATTTTATATTTAAAAGTTGTAATATTCTTTAAAGTTATATTCCTTTAAAGTAGCTGTTCCAAACCTTTTCTTCAGTATTCTTCCCCCCAGCATACACACAAGTGTTTATTTCTCTGTATTCGGTATTTATTTTCTTTTACTACAAATTAAATAATACCAATAAGGTTTGGTTGAAAATATGAATAAAAATACAATTGGACCACTAAAATATAGATACAGTAAGACCCTGCTTAATGCGGGGGATGTGTTTTTAGACAACAAAGTGCTAAGTGAAACAGCGTTAAACGAGGTCATTTTAACATAGAGTAAATAGGAATAGGGGAATACGCGACCAAAAATAAATAAATTTCAGTTTAATTTTAAGTTACTTTTTTTTTTCTTTCTCTTTGAAAAACTATTTTCAGGATTATTTTCTTTTTGCTTAATTACAGTTTAGTGAAGGCATGTTCAAGTAAAATTAATNAACATAGAGTAAATAGGAATAGGGGAATACGCGACCAAAAATAAATAAATTTCAGTTTAATTTTAAGTTATTTTTAAATTAATTTGTATAATAATATATGTTAAATAACACATAAACATATGCACACAGATTTCCTATGGTATCCATGATGATATATTTTTTTTTCAAAATTGCACTAAACAAACATAGATTTAAAGTACACCTTTTTGCCACCTTTTACTGATTGGTTTGTGTTTGCAAATAATTGTATTATATATGAATCAATGAAATGCTGCAATAATTTAAATGGGTGTAAATTTTGAGCTTTTTTTAGGCTTCAATCAGATCACATTATATTGAATTAGCATTAAGCGGGATCTTACTATATATCTATCTACAGCATTTTGCATAAATAAAATGGGTAAGATCTGTACATAGTGTTCAACCAGGAGTTTATTCTTTCTGAATAAAGTTATAAAAATGTAAATTAATACCAATGAGATTTGAAACAGCAACCTCAAACTGTTCAACAGGCACACCCCACTGAACCACCAGCTACTCTTTAAACCCCTTCCTCAACTTTTTAAACTACATGTACTGATTTATAAATGATATTCACTTTAAAGAAAGTATTGATATGTAAAAACAGTCTTCAAAGTGAACTAAACTTATTTTTTATTAGTTTGCAATTTTCTCATTTGTTTATAACAAGACATACTTGAATCAGTCTTGTGTTATTGTGAAGGAAGTAATGAATGAATGTAAATACTGTTTTCTTTGCAAATCTTTCTTAACATAGAACAAACAAAAGTACAAGAAGTTGGCATTGTGAAAGAACTTGACTCTAAGCTCAGAATACACTAGTCATATACTATATTAGGAATGTTCTCTTGTTAAATCATGTGACATCAGAACTTTCTTTATCTCATCATGATGTTTGGCAATTTTCTGCTTTTTTCACTGAATGCTTTCAATTTTATCTATTTGTTGGGGTTTTTCTTTTTTAAATCAAAGCTGGAGAGTTGGAGTCAGCATTGGTAGGGGAAGAAGGAGAATTTGCCAACTTCAACTCTCTAACTTGCTATATTTTATAATTAGAAACGTTAATAGTTTTTAATTGTAGGAAGAATAATGGATTATATGGAGTTAATCTAATGGCTCAATGCTAATGAACTTTGAAGTTATCAATGAATTTTATTTGTAATTTTAAATTTTAAGTGTAATTGCATTATGAACAGTTAAACTATTTCTGATTTTCTTGAGTTTCCACCTGTTTAATGTACAAAAGTTGAGTATTTGTTTTTGATTAACTTGCAAATTTCTACTGTAAACTGTTTTGAACTTGAATTTGAAAATTCTCAAAATTCCAAATTTCTTGCTGTGATTGATTAGAAAACAATCAGTTGACTGACTGACACCTTAAAAACAGTTCAAATGGGTGGCTTAATTTACAATAAACTTTTTACCATATTGTAAATTTTTATGGTTTGAATAGAGTAAAATCCTGTAATTATGTAAATGTAAAACCATAACTACAATCCTGTAATTATCATTAGAAAAAAATTACTTTGCTTATTACTAACTTAGTTTAATGAATTTACATGTCAGTGATGAAATATGAATAGTAAGGAGTTGGAGTCAGCGAGCTGAAAATACAGATTTGAGTTCAATGTTAGCCAACCCTGGTTTTAATTAATTAATTAATTAATAATTTAATTTTTTTACGTTTTACAGTAACTAAAAGTAATTATTGGCGACGAAATTCAATTATTTTGCATTAATTTGCATGCATTCGAAAACGTTTTCATTTCATGCCCACTAATTTGCATACGAGAAGGATTGAAATGAATCGACCTTTCATAGATATCGAGTTTTTTAAGTAAATATATATTACTTTTAAAGTGAAAAATAACGGTAAAATACATTTAAAATAAAAAATTACAGTAAAAATACATTTCAAAATACAAAATAACGATAAAAATACGCTTAAAAATGAAAAAAATTATGGTTAAAATGCATTTAAAATATGCTTAAATTAATGCTAAAAATGCACTTAGAAATGTAAAAATAGTTCAAAAAGACAAAATAATAATAAAAACGTATTGAAAAGTGCCTAAAAACTGTTGAACAGGCATTTAAAAATAGAAAATAACGGGTTAAAAAACCGTTTAAAAATGCAAAATAACGGTAAAATTATACAAGATTTTTTTTATTTAAAAAAGCAATTTTTTGAAACAAGCAACAACGTTATGCATTAAACATAATTTGACATTAATAACACATTATGATACTCTGTCATAATCTCATAAAAAAGAATAAACAAAGTTCGTGTCGACTTTTAATCTTTGAAAATTACATGCAGGGTCTTTAATTTTTTTATTAGACGAAATTCTGACTTTAATCTATGTCAATATATCATGTTATCGCTTATCTACGATAAAAAAACATACTTTTTTAAAGAAGAAAAAAATTCTTCCTCGATAGATAAATCATTCGAATGTATAGACTCTTCAATTACTTTCCTTTATAATTATTAATCATTTTATAAATGAATAAAAATATAATTAGCGTGGCATTTTTTTATTTTTAAATGGATTCGAGAAACATTAGATCCAGTTTCGGATATGTCGGGTCCCATCGTGGGCCTGGACAAATCCCAGATAGTCCTTAAAAAGGGCCCTCTTAGCGCCCGCGTAGCGAAGAATCAAAAAAATATATTTTTACAACCGATTTTGTACAGGACTATTTATAGTTTTAGAAGCCATTTTACTCTAAATATAGATTTTAATATTAATTTAAAAAATAATAGCATCAATTTTTATATGTTTTAATGTCTTATTTGATAAGTAAATAACTTTAAATATATTATTTTATTTTTTACAGATGTCATTAAGATTATACTGGACTGGGATCGTGAGGAAAATGTTTATCTCCTTGGCATCATCGTGTGGAATGCCAGGCTTTAAAATTAATAATTCCAAAAATAATTTGAATATATTTTTAAAGAGACTTTTTAGAAAAACTGTAATTTTTGTATAAAAATTTTAAAGAGTTAGGTGGGTGGGTTACACTCGTAGCAAAAATTCGCATATACAAGAAGTATTGTAACACGTAATCATCGTGTTGTTTGTTCAGAACAAAGTGAAAGGTCACTTAATAAGGATACCTTTGCCTCAGGTAAACCAGTTTGTACTTTATCCAGCTTATTTTA